TGAACAAGATGCCACATGTTATAAGTGATTTTCTGAATTTCATTTTTTAAAATAAGTTAATTTGTAGTATTTTATAACTAGATGGTTTTATTAGATGCTCATAAGCTCTCACACATGCACTAATGTTCACATTTTACATTCCATCAGCCGGAAACCTGTTAGTTAGCTTGTTTGTTTTTTGAGACAAAGTCTTGCTCTATGGCCCAGGCTGGAATGTGGTGGCACGATCTTGGCTTACTGCAACCTCCACCTCCCGGGTTCAAGCAATTCTCCTGCCTCAGCCTCGTGAGTAGCTGTGACTATAGGAGCGCGCCACCGCACCTGGCTAATTTTTGTATTTTTAGTAGAGATGGGGTTTCAACATGTTGGCCAAGCTGGTCTTGAACTCCTGCCCTTGTGATCTGCCCGCCTCGGCGTCCCAAAGTGCTGGGATTACAGGCGTGAACCACCGCGCCCAGCCCTTTTTTTTTAGACAGAGCCTTGCTTTGTCACCCAGGCTGGAGTGCAGTGGCATGATCTTGGCTTACTGCAACCTCTACCTCCCGGATTCAAGCGATTCTCCTGCCTCAGCTTCCCAAATAGCTGGGATTACAGGCACCCGCCACCACGCCCAGCTAATTTTTGCATTTTTAGTAGAGACAAGATTTGACCATCTTGGCCAGGCTGGTCTTGAACTCCTGACCTCGTGATCTGCTCGCCTCAGCCTCCCAAAGTATTGGGATTACAGCCATGAGCCACTGCACTGGCCTAGATAATCTCCTTTCTTCATTTTGTCATATGTATGTGTACACACATACAATCAAAATTATAACCACGATGTTTTTCTTTGCGTTTTTTGTTTTTCTCTGTAACCTGGGCTGAGGAGCTCCTCGCTCCTTTTTTTTTTTTTTTTTTTTTAAATTGTGGTAAAATCTGCGTAACGTAAAATTTACCAGCTAATCTATTATTAAGCATACAGTTCAGTGCATTGAGTACATTTACAGCGCTTTGCAGCCACCATCACCATCCATCTCCAGAAAGATTTCATCAACACACCACGTTTCCAAACTTCTCGATTTTATTAAGTGCCTCTCATTCAAATAGGAACAGCTGAAGAAAAAAATGGAGGTACCATGCAACATCTGACTTCTCAGCTGCCACATTCAGAAGTAACAAAGAACCCCCTTTTGAAAATCTCTTCCCATTTTATCTTTACAACTCCATAGCAATGTTGGTTTATGCAATCAAAACTGAAAACAGAGAACAAATAGTTTGTTCCCTGCTGGTATATAAAAACCAAAGTTTGTAACAAGGTAACTATTTTATAGCCCTCCAAGCTCATTAAAAGTACATTCTTCCTGTTGTGTTCTATCTTTTGGACAGGTATGTAATTAAGATAGATGGTATGTGATCCTAAGAGCTCCCTTACCAGAGAACCTTCTGGCCAAATTCAGTGTGTTACATTATACTGTTCCTTTATATGTCCTTTAGGATCATACTTCTTGGCTGTCCACATCATATCAAATATAGGTCACTTTCCTTCCTAAAATGTTTTCTACCATTTTTATATCTATTGAGGGCATTATAATTCTCAGATATCTGAATATTATTGCTGAATGGTTAAATCTTTTTCTGGTATGAATTCATTAAGGTGCTGAAACATAAATTGTACTATGTTTGTGGGAGTTATCTTCCAATTTTTCTTTGTTTTCTAAAACATTTTTAATCCTATGAAAATAGGCCAGGCCACCTTATCAGAGCAAGGTATCCAGAGCTCCACTCTCTTCTAGGCTTAAGAATGTTCTAGAATATTGTAAGGGGGGAATGGAGTACTCAGGAGCAGTAGAGGGGGAATGTGCAAAATCTCTGGGCACAAGTGGGTGTTCCCCTCCCAGGTGGTCACCAGGTGATGGGCTGACTGCAGGGAAGGGAAGGCGTCGCCCAGGGAGGCACAGGTGCTGCCTGCGGCAGGCTGGTGGAGGCCAGTGGCTCCTACGTGCGCCTTTGTGCTGGGAAACCAGATTTTTTTTTTTTCTTCTTTCTGTTCTAACGGCTTCTTCAGCACTGCTGTGCCCCACCACCTCCATAGTCTTCTCTCCCCCTAGTCTGGAATAAGATTTTCTAGTCCCTCAAGTCAAATCTCACATTTAAGCCTCACATTTCCCCAACTTTTACCTAGCACTGCAGACCTTCAAGTCCAGAGGCTTTGGAAACAATCTGCAACTGCTTTCTCTCTGCCTTCCACCCTATCTCCCCCTCCAGGCAGCTTGCAAAGAGCAGAGGCTTGGAAAGGAGAGGTGGGGCAGGAAGCGCAGAAAGTGCAGGATTTTGTGGTTAACAAACATTTCAAAAACATTGGCCCGCTGTAATATAAAGAAGTGGATTTTCTCTGATGGAAACAAAACACAGTCAAGTCCTATGCTTGGAATATTGATCTGCAGAAGAGTAGCCCATCTCAGCCTCAAAGGATAGTCTTAAAAAGCAAAAAAAAAAAAAAAAAAAAAAAAAAAAAAAAAAATAGTAGGAGAGTTTGCTGCTGCAAAGCTTAAGGTCCTATGAGGAAAATACTATTAGAACCAGGAGCACAATTATGGCCTCACATTAGAGTCACCTGGGAGAACTTTTAAAAATGCCAAAAATAGAATGCCTGGGCCTCACCCCTAGAGACTTTGATTTAATTGGTCTTGAGTGAGCCCCCAAGCAAAGCTTTTTTTCTTTTTTTCTTTTTTTTTTGTGAGAGGGAGTCTCGCTCTGTCCCCCAGGCTGGAGTGCAGTGGCGCCATCTGGGCTCACTGCAAGCCCCGCCTCGTGAGTTCACGCCATTCTCCGGCCTCAGCCTCCCCAGTAGCTGGGACTACAGGTGCCCACCACCACACCCAGCTATTTTTTTGTATTTTTAGTAAAGACGAGGTTTCACCGTGTTAGCCAGGATCTGCTGATCTGACCTCGTGATCCACCCGCCTCGGCCTCCCAAAGTGCTGGGATTACAGGCCTGAGCCACCACGCCCCGCCCAGCAAAGCTATTTTTAAACATTCCCCAGGTAGTAAGTGTAGAACAGAAACCCACGTTATGTTAGCAGGGCCCACTCATCCTATAGGCATAGCAGGCACAGCACTTGGGCCCACCATACTTGCAGGGCACACAGAAAAGTTTAATTTCTTTTAGAATCAGAAGAAAAAGAATAAACTTTTAGGTGGAAGAAAATGACTTCACATATAATATTAACATATATTTCTTTATATCAATGAATTCATAAAATACAATTTTGGGGGCTAGGTTTGGTGGCTCAGGCCTGTAATCCAAGGATTTTGGGAGGCCAAGGCAGGAGGATTGCTTGAGGCCAGAAGTTTGAGACCCATCTGGGTAACATAGTGACACCTTGTCTCTAAAAAATAAATTTAAAAATAAAATAAAATTACAATTTTTTTTGAGACAGAGTCTTACTACAATTTTTTTTTTTAAATGGGGAAAGAGATTCACAAGTCAGAAGTGCATAGGGCCTACAAAAACCATAATGCAGCCCTATATAAAACAGACACGTGGACGCCAGGTGCAGTGGTTCACCCTTGTAATCCCAGCACTTTTGGAGGCCAAGGTGAGCAGACACTTGAGGTTAGGAGTTGGAGATCAGCCTGGCCAACATGGTGAAACCCTGTCTCTACTAAAAATACAAAAATTAGCTGGGCATGGTGGCATGTGCCTGTAATCCTAGCTATGTAGGAGGCTGAGGCAGGAGAATTGCTTGAAAGCGAGAGGCAGAGTTTGCAGTGAGCCGAGACAGTGCCACTGCACTCCAGCTTGGGCAACAAAGTGAGACTCTATCTCAAAAAAAAGAAAAAAGGCTGGTTGCGGTGGCTCATGCCTGTAATCCCAGCACTTTGGGACGCCAACGCAGGCGAATCACCTGAGGTCAGGAGTTCGAGACCCGCCTGACCAATTGGTGAAACCCTGTCTCTACTAAAAATGCAAAAATTAGTTGGGCGTGGTGGCAGGCACCTGTAGTCCCAGCTACTTGGGAGGCTGAGGCAGGAGAATCACTCGAATCCAGGAGGTAGAGGTTGCAGTAAGTCCAAGATCATGGCATTGCACTCCAGCCTGGGCAACAGAGCAAGACTTGGTCTAAAAAAAAAAAACAAAAAACAAAAAAAAGAGACACATGTAAGGGTACATCTTTGAATATTACTAAAAATAATTACTCGGTTCACATTAAGACAGCACTGAAATACGCCAATGATGTGTACATCTTGCACATCATTTAGGCAATGATTCCTAAATTTCCCCTTATTTCCCCGTCCACTGCAAATGGTTCAAGATAGGCTCTATCCTGCTTCAACAAGCTACCTATAAATTTTGCTGTGTTGCCACCTCAGACATTTTTGAGCATCTAGTCTTTCATCCAAACACACAGTGCCTTTCTTTTTTGTTTTGTTCTTGTTTTTTAGAGCCAGGAGGGTCTTGCTTTGTCACCCAGGCAGGAATGCGGTAGTGCTATTTTGGCTCACTGCAGCCTTGAATTCCTGGCTCAAGGGATCCTCCCACTTCAGCCTCCTGAGTAGCTGGGATGAAAGACAGTCACCACCATGCTCAGTTAATTTTAAAAGTTTGTTTGTTTGTTTTTGTAGAGACATGGTCTCACTTTGTTACCCAGGCTGATCTTGAACTCCTGGGCTCAAGTTAACCTCCTGCCTCAGCCTCCCAAAGTGCTGGGATTACAGGTGTGAGCCGCCACACCCAGCCTTTGGTACCTTTCTAATGTTTGATTCAGAGACACTCACCTCAATTCCTGAGATTTCAGAGACACAGTGGATTGGAGGCCTCAGAGAAAAAGAACCGTTAGCCCTAAGAGATCTGGAGCGAATCTGGAGCCTCCTCAATGTGAGGCTTTTCCTCACATTGCTGGCCCCTGTCGCCCCAGCTCAGTTCCCTCCTGGCTGCTGTGGCAGGCAGAGCTTCCTAAGGTTGAGTTACAAAAACCACCACGGTCACTCTCACTTTCCCCCTTTTCCAAACAGATACTCACGTTTGAAAAGTCATCTTCTTCATATTGGCAGAAACTCCAGAGTTCTCCTGGCAAGGGAAAGGCATGTGGACGCCAATCTCCACGTCCTTGAATTTCATGGAAGGGAACTCGTGTTGAGGGAGACTGAGGTATCAGGCAGGAAAGGACAGGTCAGTGCTCATTCCACTGGCACTGGGTGGGGCTTGGAAAAGGCAGTCACCTACACTTGCTGGTTGCAAGACTAAAGCACACAGATGGAGACTCACAGGAAAATCACTCATCTGAAAACTCCCTGTGGCTGCCAGAGGCTTTGATGTCCCTTGGCTTCCAGCAGCACCTGTCAAGGAGAAAGCCAACTGTGGTCTGAAATGAGGGAAGCAAGTCTTGGGATAATGATCCCTTAGATGCCTTCTGGTTTGAAGTCCTGTGACTCTTGAGCAAAGCTCTAGTTCTGACAGACCCAGGTCTCAATCTCTGCTTTTCTATTTATTTATCAAGAATAAATAAATGTATCCATTTTATTTATCCATAAATTGGGGATAAGAACATGTACCTCATGGGTTGTTCTGAAATTTATTTATTTATTTATTTATTTATTTTTTGAGACGGAGTCTCGCTCTGTTGCCTAGGCTGGAGTGCAGTGGCCAGATCTCGGCTCACTGCAAGCTCCACCTCCCAGGTTCACACCATTCTCCTGCCTCAGCCTCCCGAGTAGCTGGGACTACAGGCGCCCGCAACCTCGCCCGGCTAGGTTTTTTTTGTATTTTTTAGTAGAGACGGGGTTTCACCGTGTTAGCCAGGATGGTCTTGATCTCCTGACCTTGTGATCCGCCCGTCTCGGCCTCCCATAGTGCTGGGATTACAGGCTTGAGCCACCGTACCCGGCCTAATTTATTTTTAATTTAAAAATTAATTTATTTTTGAGATGGGGGTCTCAGTTCTGTCGCCCAGGCTGGAATGCAGTAGTGTGATCACAGCACACTGCAACCTCCACCTCCTGGGCTCTATCAAACAAGCCTCCCACTTCAGCCTCCTAGGTAGCTGGGACCACAGGTGTGCACCACAAGCCTGGCTAATTTTTGTATTTTCTGTAGAGACGGGGTTTCACCGTGTTGTTCAGGCTTGTTCTGAAATTTAAATGTTGAGTGTGGAATTCTTCAAATTGCCCAAGAAATTCAAGTTCCCTCCTGTAATCACTATCACCTTGACTATAGGGCTATAAGCAGAAGGAATCGCCAGTTTTTCGACTTCAGTCTGCTCTTGGGCAGACCAACTCAAAAACCCTTACATGAAAGTTCTGTGGAAATAAATTGTACTACTGCAAGACTAAATTTGAGTTTTCATTATTTCAGCCCTAGCCACCAAATAGCCCTGGCTTGCTACTTTTGCTTTAGACATAGCCAAGAAAAATGTGTTTTGAAAGGAGAAATCCCTTGCTAGAAGGCTTTGGCAGTCAGAAATGAACAAAAATGCAGAATTTTAAAACATTTGTACTGGTGTCTTTTGGTCTCATTTGTTGCCCAGTTGGTCTGAAAATAATCTGAGAATGTGTCACTCAAGATCATCTATAACCAAATAATTCAAACCAAAGAATGGTTGATTAATTTGCTACAAATAAAATGTGGTCCACAGAGTCAAAACTTTTTAAATGTTTCAAGGATTTTTGTTTCTTTATTTGTTTTTAATTTCTTTTCTTCTGAGACAGGGTCTTGCTCTGTCATCCAGGCTGGAATGCAGTGACGCAATCATAGTTTATTGTAGCCTAGACCTCATGGGCTCAGGTCATCTTCCCACCTCAGCCTCCTGAGTAGCTGGGACTACGGGCGCGAGCCATCACACCTGACGAATTTTTTTTGTATTTTCTGTAGAGATGGGGTTTCACTATGTTACCCAGGCTGGTTCTAAATTCCTGAGCTCAAGTGATCTGCCCTCCTCGGCCTCCCAAAGTGCTGAGATTATAGGCCTGAACCACTGTGCCCGGCTAAGGTTTTCTTTTGAAACTTGGAGTTGGAGCTATCCCAACTTTGCCGAAATCATGGTTCGAAAGGGAATTTTCAATTTTGGAGTTGTTTCAACATAACCAGGGACACATTCCCAAAAACATTTAATACATGCATGTTTATTGAATTAGTATTAGTTGGTGTTTTGGGGATGGCTGAGGGGATGGTGAGTGTAAACTTGCCTTGTTTCTGGAAAATTCCTCCTTCCACTGGTCAGCAGAGCTTTGACATTCCTACACTAAGTTCTTCAGTCTGTAAGACTGGCAGTCCAAGCTTCTAGAAACTCAGCCATGCTTGGCTCCAACCGGGGTCCAACCGACCACAAAATGTATCTAAAATACTTTTGACTGTTCTGAATCCCTCTAATGTTGCTATTGGTTCTCTCTTGATTTTTCATTCACCTTGCACGTTGAAATATCTGTGGGAAGAAATCTGTGTTCCCCTTAGGGGAAATACTGGAGGAGTAGCATGGAGTCAAACTCAAGCTATTTGATGTTTTTCTCTTACTGAGAAACTTCACTCCTCTTTCAACATTTCCACCATATAATGGGGTATGCTACCTTTAGAGCGAATAAAAAAAGTAATAGTTTATCTTCTTGTCTATCCCATAGAATAAGGATGTGCAATGGCATACTGGGTTTCATTCCCTTCCTCCATACTATACACATACACAGTGACTTTTCCAAAGGCTTCTTAGGACAGTTTATTGTTTTTTTTTTGTTTTTGTTTTTTTCTGTTTTTGTTGTGTTTTGTTTTGTTTTTTAGATGGAGTTTCACTCTGTCGCCCAGGCTGGAGTGCAATGGTGCGATCTCAGCTCACTGTAACCTCTGCCTCCCGGGTTCAAGTGATTCTCCTGCCTCAGCCTCCTGAGTACCTGGGATTCAGGCGCATGCCACCACGCCCGGCTAATTTTGTATTTTTGGTAGAGACGGGGTTTCAACATGTTGGCCAGGCTGGTCTCAAACTCCCGATCTCAGGTGATCTTCCTGCCTCGGTCTCCCAAAATGCTGGGATTACAGGCAGGAGCCCCTGTGCCCGGCTGGACCATTTACTGTTAATTAGGTCTCACTTCTTCCGCTATGAGGTAAATAAATATCACCTCTTTTTGCAGGCCTAGGGATCCAGGCTACAGAGATTAGGTTACTAGTCCAAGGCCATGGGGCAAGTCTTTATTGGCATTCAGATGGGCTGGGCCAGTCTCTGGCCTGGCCACAAGAGGTGAGCTCCACCTCAAAACCTGTTCTACAACGGCATTTCCTGACTGGCTACGTGTGTGCGTGCTGACTAGCATGCTTATTCATTCATTCATCAAACATTTAGTGAACACCTGCTATGTGCTAGTGGCTAGAGACTCAGGGAGGAGTCTGACCCATTCCCTTCAGTTAAGAAAGTCACAGTGTGTGGAAGGGTTGAATTACAAGTAAATAGGTGCTACAATAAAACACCCCACAAGGCAGAAAGGGAGGATGGAGGAGGATTTCTTAGAGGAGGAGGGACTTAAGCTAAACCTTGAAAGAGCAAGAAGGAAGGGTGTTTTAGATGAAGGAATCTTGACAGCAGGCCCACGGTGTGGATGGCTGGCTAGGGGCATAGCCCTCTCCTTGACTTATCTGCCAGCTGGGGCCAGATTTTGAGAGGCTTGCCACACCTTGCCAAGGGGTTTGATTCTTTTTCCGTAGGCCTAGCAAGTTTGCCTGCCCGAGGGGCTCTAGAAGTTCAAACAGAAAATTAATACGAGTGTTTGATGTATTAAGTCTCTTCCCTCAACACTTGTAGAAGTGAACACTTTGAAAAGTGAGCAGTTTAAGACTGAGATTCCTCACTTCATGTGGGAAGTGTGCAAAGTCCAAAAATGAGATTGAGCACCCAAGGAATTAGTCTCCCCTCTGCTCCTGCTCAGAGCCAGACCTTGTTGGAGAGGACACAGCTGGGTCTCACTGGAGGGGAAAGAAGTTTCTATGGCGCCATGCCCATGGAACCTGCTGGAAATCTGACCTCTGGGGTTCTGGGGAAACCTGTTTATGGGGAATCGGTGTTTTGGTGGAGTTGCTCCACCACGCAACAGCTTGGAGTAGAGGGATAGTGCCAGGAGAGACTGCTGGCTGTGGAATGATGTAGGCACCAGGTCCTGAAGGAGTCCTGGCACAGCAGTGGCGGAGCTTGAAGCCATGTGCACTGCAGCAGCCTGGCGGCGCAGAAGCTATCCGTGCCGGGACAGCTCCCTGCACGCTCAGACCAACTTCGCGCTGACAGCTTTCCATCACAAGGGAGCACTTTTGTTCCAAGGAGCCCTCTCAGCATGGGAGGTGGGTAGCCTAGAAGTAGGGGTAAGGCACGTAGGAGCAGTCTTTGTTGAAGACTTGGAAAAATACTCCAGCTCCCTGAGCTTCAGGTTGTCAATTCTGGGGGGCATTCAGCATCTTCCCAGGAGGTCCTAGGGGAATCAGGCCCCCTGCATATAGCACCACTCTCACTAACACACCCTAATAGTGTCTTTCCTCCTTCCCTGTCCCACTCTTCCTGCTCCCTGTCTCCTGCTTCTAGGGATCACCCTAAATACACCGCCGGCAGGCAAGTCTTGTCACAGGCTCCCCCTTCAGGGCAACCCATATTAAGGCAGCCTGTTTCCCAAAGACTCTAAGCAAAAGCCCTCTTCCTGGGTGTCCGTCCCAGTCCCATCTTTCTTTATAAGCAGAATAGCTTGTCCACTTCAATCAAAGAAACCATGTACTATCTTTTGCTTCGTTCACTTCCTCCTGTTTCCCTGTCTTGGGTGTATGATCACACCTTCCAGAAATGCCCTCCACACTCTTTCTGTTATCCATGTGCATTACATCTTCTTCTTTTGTTTTTGAGATGAAGTCTCACTCTGTCACCCCAGCTGGAGCGCAATGGTGTGATCTTGGCTCACTGCAACTTCCACGTCCTGGGTTCAAGTGATTCTCCTGTCTCAGCCTCCTGAGTAGCTGGGATTACAGGCGTGTACCACCACGCCCGGCTAATTTTTTGTATTTTTAGTAGAGATGGGGTTTCACTATGTTGGCTAGGCTGATCTCAAACTCCCTACCTCAAGTGATCCACCCGTCTTGGCCTTCCAAAGTGCTGGGATTACAGGCATGAGCCACTGCGCCCGGCCTTGCATTGTATCTTCCAAGTGCATGCCATAAGACCTGTTCCACGCTGCAGCCTCCCTTCTGCCACCCTTCCTGTATTCTGTGTCACTACTCAGATGTCATTTATACTGTAGCACTTATGTGAATATTTTTGTATCATGTATTTCATGTACAGAA